TAAATGTGTCACAGACAGGCTTAGCAAAATTTGACCTTTTTCACAAGTATAATTCAGCTTATTTGGCAAAAGACAATAACAGAGTCAGCATAGAAAATATAATTGAACAATGCTTTGATTATTTAAATGGGCAAAATGCAATTGAACAGCTACAAAGTCTTTGTACTATTCCATGCATTCCAGTGTCAGCAATAAATTGTCAAGATACAGTTATACATCAGCCAGTGCTTGTAAAGCCAATTCAAGTAGTAAGACAAATTCCTGATGACTGCTCGCACCTCTTCCCTTACCTTCATATGGTACCTGATTTCTTGGTTGGATGCCAATACCTCAAAACATTAGGTATAACTGATAACATTGAAATCAAGACTCTTCAGTATCTCCTTGAAACAATTTATAAGCAACTTTACAACAAAATTCTTGACCCAAATCATAATACTACAGTCAGAGAAGCAGTAATTAAGATGCATAGCCTGCTAATAAATGAATTACTTTCACCTACTAAAGTCCAGGATATTTCACCACTCTATTATCCTAACAATGAAGGTTTCTTAGTTGACTCAACTACTCTTATATTTGTTGATTCCAGTCGCTATAAAACAGGCAAATACAATTTTTCTGGGGTGCCCTTTTCCTTATTTCAATTGCCACCTCAAGCCACACACTCAGCAACCAAAACTTTTAAATCATTTTCAAGTTACATGTATGATGCAAGCAATGTACCATGCAATAAGTTATGCTTGCAATTACCAAAGAATGTTAGGCCACATGGCCTCTCTCTTATTTGCAGGGAAGAATTGCTTGATCATAATGTAGCTACAGAAAGTAATTCACCTCTTCAGTTGCATTTTTTAAAGCTAAAATCCATCGCTCCAGCTTTGGAAGAACTAATGCCTAAAATAATAGTAGCACATTGCCGTAATCATTCTGTACAAGTGGATGGGGATGAATCAACTGCAAAAAAATTCTCAGAAACATTAGTAAAGTACTTTATTAAGACAGTGAAGTTAGTAATCATTAATAACTTAAAAAGTAAAGTTATTATTAATGACAAATCAATTGCAACTATTGAAGTCAAATATTTGTTTCAAAAAAATGAGGATGATGACGAGTTCATTCTTTATGTGGAGAAAAAAGCAACCAGTAGTTATACTTTTCGTAACGAAATTACACACACTCTTTGTGTTGAAATAGCACGATTGCATAATGTTAAATTGACTTCATATATAAAATTTACTGATCCTGTTTGTGACTGTTTTGCAGCACAAAGTATTGAAGATTTAATACCTACTTTAGAGAAATTACAAATTGACACTCATGGTATTAATGACATGATTCTTCCCATTGAGAGTAATGCTGTGACTCTTGGAGGAGAAATACCAAATGAACTCATTGATCTGCTGGAAAATGACATAAATCATATTTTCCATCCTGAGGAATGGGTTGGATATGAGAATGAATATGGCAGTTTCATCTATGTAATTGTTCTGTATGCAGTTGCACAAGAATCATTCAACCCCCTAGAAAGAAGATATGTGATTGCAATTGACAGTGAAGGCAATACAAAGGAAGTATCAACCCTTGACCTTTATAAGCTAATGAAAGTGAGTGAACACTCTTTAGAAGAAAATGAGAGTCAAGAACTAGTGTTGCTGGAGTCTGATAGTGCTTCTGCTCAAGTTAGAAGACTGACGGATTGTTATAGTCTGTTAGAGTTGAAAAGAGCAATCAT